CAAATTTTGATTTAAAACCCAGAATCCTGCTTTAAATCCTACGAAAAAAAACACAGTATTCCAAACAAACGTTGTCATTATATAAGTTTTGGTGTCCAAGATTTTAGGAACATATAAGCAATTTTTTATGCTTAAACCACATCAGCTAAAAATGAAGTTTATATTGGGTCATTAATTTATTCAACAAAAGTGTCTTGATCATTGACTATGTTTGAGGTCCTAGGCACCATACTGGTGCTGTCTTAGGCTCTCTGGATGTGAAAATGTACTCACATAAACAAACAGGACTTATCCGGTAAGTTGGGATCCACCCTTTATTAATATCAATGGGAAAAGTTTGTGTGTTATCATCACAAACTTGGAGTCAAAATAGGTGAACACATTTTTGCCCCCCTCAGAATGTATTCACAGTGACTAACAATTAGGCCGCATTATCAATTCTATAAATAGAAAGGGGTATCTGTAAATGAAGCTGAACCTCTGGCTGGACTGGCCTGGAATTTAACGTGAAGATTAAGCTTGGAAAGCTGTAGTCACGTTTCACTTTTGTTTTTCCCACATGCATATGCTCAAAAAGGACCACAGTGGGTACACTTCTACCATCTGAAATTTAACTGATTTTGCTTACATTTTTAAACTGAGCCTAGTAAAACCATACACACAAGTCAAGTCAAAACGAAAAAAAAAAATTATGAAATTATACCCATAAGGCTGTTTCTTAAAAGTGTATCAAGATATTTTAAGTGAAAATTATATTTGACCTAAATTTTCACAAGAATTATAATACATTTTCTACCTTTAAGCCTATGGCAAGAAGTTCTACAGTAACAGAAAGGTAGAGAGGAGATATGAAAAGTCTAACGGATTGTCGCTGAGAATGACACTCTTTTGGGGAGGCTGTGGTGGTCTTACCCTGTTTTATAACACTCCCTATCACCTAAAATAACTCCACAATGTTTAGCTACTAACTATATTACAAAAACATTTAGAATTAACTAAATATAATATTTAGGCCAGCTGTGGTGGTGCAGGCCTATAATCCC